GGAGGAGGAGGAGGAGGAGGAGGAGGAGGAGGTTGAGGAGGAGGAGGAGATTTTGAGAAAGTGCTGTACCATGTGTCTTTTCTTGTTTTCCTTAGCTGCTGTTGGGTTGTCTGGTCTGTTCCTTTGATTGTTTTTTGTGTATTTCCTCTAGTTTGATGTTCTCTCTGGTTTTCCAATGCGCTCATAAGGAATACCTGTGCGATCCCCCCACGAAGCATACCTTGTGTGAGGTTTTCCGATCGAAACCATTTTTGTGGTGTTTTCCAAAGGATTATTGTTGTGAGGCCTTCTCATAGAATCCCTGTGTAGCGCTTTCCAGATGATTCCTGTTGTGAGGTCCTCCAATCGAGTCTCCTGTTGGTGTTTTCCAACAGATCCCTATTTGTGAGGCTTTCCAAAGGATCCCTTCGTGGTGCTTTCCAGCGGATTCCTGTTGTGAGGCCTTCCAATCGAATCCTTCCGTGGTGTTTTCCAGAAGGGTTCCTAATGCGAGGACTTCGAATCGGATCCCTTTGTTGTGGCGATTTCCAAGAGATCCCTTCTGGGCCGTGGGGTATCCCCGCCCCCCTGAAAACTTGCGCAGACGGAGTCTGCTGTCAAGATTCCTGTTTCTCTTCCTTCTCCACTCTGCCTTCCTCCTCTTCTACACTTCGCCGTTCTACCTCACGATAGGAATCCTTTGGGAAGAACCACGAAGGGATTCGATTGGAAGGCGTCACAACAGGAATCCCTTGGAAAGCGCCACAACGGAAGATTTCTGTAGGGAAGTCTCACAACAGGATTCTTTTGAAAAGCCTCATAACAGGAATCCTGTTTCCCCACATTCTAAGTGGGGTTATGATTTTCACTCCACCCGCGTCACACCCGCGTTCACCTCACCTCCTCCTTCTCGCTCGTACACACACCACACCACACCACACCACATCGCACCACACCACACCACGCCACACCACACCACCACACCACACCACACCACACCACACCACACCACACCACACCACACCATCCGTCACATCACATCACATCAGGAGACACACGCACATCACATCACACCACACCACACCACACCACATCACCGCGGTCTCTATCCGCCCCAGGGTCGCAGGGCGTGGCAGGCGTGGCACTTGCTCGACACCAGAGGGGGTGTGCAGGGAGTGGTCCTTCACCGCGGTCTCTGTCCGCCCCAGGGTCGCAGGGCGTGGCAGGCGTGGCACTTTCTCGACACCATAGGGGGTGCGCAGGGGGTGGTCTCTCACCGCGGCCGCTATCCGTGCCGGTCGTCCAGGGCACAGCAGGCATGGCATATTCTCGACACCATAGGGGGTGCGCAGGGGGTGGTCTCTCACCGCGGCCGCTATCCGTGCTGGTCGTCCAGGGCACAGCAGGCATGGCATATTCTCGACACCATAGGGGGTGCGCAGGGGGTGGTCTCTCACCGCGGCCGCTATCCGTGACGGTCGTCCAGGGCACAGCAGGCATGGCATATTCTCGACACCATAGGGGGTGCGCAGGGGGTGGTCTCTCACCGCGGCCGCTATCCGTGCCGGTCGTCCAGGGCACAGCAGGCATGGCATATTCTCGACACCATAGGGGGTGCGCAGGGGGTGGTCTCTCACCGCGGCCGCTATCCGTGCCGGTCGTCCAGGGCACAGCAGGCATGGCATATTCTCGACACCATAGGGGGTGCGCAGGGGGTGGTCTCTCACCGCGGCCGCTATCCGTGCCGGTCGTCCAGGGCACAGCAGGCATGGCATATTCTCGACACCAGAGGGGGTGCGCAGGGGGTGGTCTCTCACCGCGGCCGCTATCCGTGACGGTCGTCCAGGGCACAGCAGGCATGGCATATTCTCGACACCAGAGGGGGTGCGCAGGGGGTGGTCTCTCACCGCGGCCGCTATCCGTGACGGTCGTCCAGGGCACAGCAGGCATGGCATATTCTCGACACCAGAGGGGGTGCGCAGGGGGTGGTCTCTCACCGCGGCCGCTATCCGTGACGGTCGTCCAGGGCACAGCAGGCATGGCATATTCTCGACACCAGAGGGGGTGCGCAGGGCAGGCATGGTCTCTCTCTCACCGCGGCCGCTATCCGTGCCGGTCGTCCAGGGCACAGCAGGCATGGCATATTCTCGACACCAGGGGTGCGCAGGGGGTGGTCTCTCACCGCGGCCGCTATCCGTGGCAGGAGGGGGTGCGCAGGGGGTGGTCTCTCACCGCGGCCGCTATCCGTGAGGTCGTCCAGGGCACAGCAGGCATGGCATATTCTCGACACCAGGGGGTGTGCGCAGGGGGTGGTCTCTCACCGCGGCCGCTATCCGTGCCGGTCGTCCAGGGCACAGCAGGCATGGCATATTCTCGACACCAGAGGGGGTGCGCAGGGGGTGGTCTCTCACCGCGGCCGCTATCCGTGACGGTCGTCCAGGGCCACAGCAGGCACGGCATATTCTCGACACCATAGGGGGGTGCGCAGGGGGTGGTCTCTCACCGCGGCCGCTATCCGTGCGGTCGTCCAGGGCACAGCAGGCATGGCATGACACATCTGGTTCTCACCGCGGCCGCTATCAGGGCACAGCAGGCATGGCATATTCTCGACACCAGAAGGGGGTGCGCAGGGGGTGGTCTCCCACCGCGGCCGCTATCCGTGACGGTCGTCCAGGGCCAAGCAGGCACGATATTCGACACCAGAGGGGGTGCGCAGGGGGTGGTCCCCCATCAGTTTCGGGCTCGCAAAGTGTGGCAGGCGTTGCATTTTCTCGACACCAAAAGGGGGTGCGCAGGGGGTGGTCCCCCATATCCGCTTCGGGCTCGCAAATTGTGGCAGGCGTTGCACGTTCTCGACACCACAGGGGGTGCGCTGGGGCTGGTCCCCCCTATCCGTTGCGGGCTCGCAAAGTGTGGCAGGCGTTGCAGATCCCCAACGCCACAGAGGCCCACGACAATGCCAGGAGGCTGTGCTTGGTGCAACATGATATGACCACGCAGGATCTGAAATAAGTATGTGGGGTTCCTCGGTAGCATAATTGGAAAGAATCACGAATCGATTCGACTGGAAAGCACAGCGATTCGGATGAGCTGTGGGCACTCTGTCTCCCTCTTTCTCCATCTCTCGCCTCCTCTGCCTCCCTCTCCACCTCTCTCTTTCTCTCTCTCGCGCCAAACTCGCAGCTTCTTGCTCCAAGAGCGCCAAGAGGGCCCCGCACGGGAGTCCCTCGGCAAAGGGTTGAAGAATGGAGCGAAAAGACGGACGGTCACGTTTGAACCAGGTCGTTTGCGATCGGTTCTCATTCGATTCGGTTCAATTCGGTGTGCCGGTTGGGGCTTCGATTCCGATTCGGTTCGATTCATCGACATCGGCCAGTCGGCCAGGGCCAGCCAGAGCCGAGCGTTGGTTTTTTGACTTCGAGCCGACCCGGCTGTGCGACTCGATCCAGCTAGGCCCAGCCGAGGCATGTTGCGAGACCTTTGGACGTCTGCTGGGGTGAGGCTAGGACAAGAAGATACTGGTCCAGAGCGTTCCGGAGCGCTCTCAGAGCGTTCTGGAGCGCCTTGAGTCGGCCGCGGTGCCCGACACATCTTCCAGAACCGCGAGAGGTCAGATATCCCCAGTTTGTCTTGTTACCATGTGTTCGTCTTACCCTCTGGAGGTCCCATGTCTTTGGAGGTTGAGCTTAGCATCGGTGCTGGTCCATCCGTGGCCGAAACCTGGTCTAAGACGGTCCACTCCCGCTGGCTTACCTCTGGACTCAGTCTGGCCTGATCCGGCTTCACGGCCCCAAAAATTGGCATAGTAGCTCCCAAGAGTTCGTTCAAAGATCTCCCGGTGGAGTTGGAGTCGTGGGAATCACCTCCGCTCGGGAGTTATCGACTAACACCACGTTCCTGAGTCGGGGTTGAAAAGTTGGGCCCCGCCTCCGCTCAGGAGTTTGCCCCGACGAGCCCCTGGCTCTGAGTGGAGGCGTGCCCCATGGCTGCAGCCCCGTCGTCTCGGAACGAGAAGTCGCCCTCGCACGAGGGGCCGCGCACCTAAAATTGCCACGTCGGCGGATGTCTGGGAACATCTGATTCCTCTCCCGAGCGCCGCCAAAGGCACGACAGTCTCGTGTCGTGACGACCTGGGCTCTGCTTTCTGAGACCGCGTGGATCGCTCAGCCTGGAAGGATCGGTGGCTTGTCGCTCGCCAGATCTTTCCGTATTGGCCGGTTCGGGGCCATTGGCGGCGTGCAATTTGGAATGCCCTGGGCGTGGTCGTTGCCGCGTCGACACGGCACGAACCTGCCCCAGGTCTCGGGGGGCATCCGGCAACAGGCCGACGCCCGTGGTCTCAGGACTCAGGAGCTGCCTCCCGACTCCAGAAGTCCCCAGATCGGGCAAGGTCCATTTCGATCCAATCGAATCGACTAGATATTCAGGAGCGAAGAAAGGACGTACACATACATGAAGCCACGTTGGTTTCGAGAGCATGCATTGCGCGAATGCTCGCATCATGCGGCTGGTCTCGCGGACTGCGGGGCCGTGTTCATGTACGTGGTTGGGCGCGCACGTCCTATGGGGGCTTCCCTGATATCGACGTGGGCCGTCTCTGTCCGATTCGATTTCGATTATCCTGCGATCCGATGCGGCCCGATGCCTGTATGTCGTTGCTTTGCAGCAGATCCGGTCCGACTCCGACTCCGTGCCCACGCGGCCCGATGCGACGCACATTCCGACCCGACCCCGCTTCCCGATTCGATGCTGACCGATCCTGGGTCCAGAGGCCGTGCGGCGGGGTTCTGTCGCAGGCCTAGAGGTTGACACCAGCACCAATTTCGGCGTTGTGCCTCCACTGAGGGACGAAGATCTCGATCTCGGTGATGGTGTTATTAGTCTGGATTCCAGGGTGACCGAAATATTACCACCAACACTGAAATCTAGGATGTTCCCCCTGTGGAGGTAACCTTCTGTGTTGGTGTTGGTGCTCATTTCCAGGCCTCCGATTCTGGGGCCCCCGCCCCCGCTCGGCTCAGGCCGGGGCCGACGGGCGCCTGGAGGGCATCTGCGTCGAGTGGAGGGACCGCGCCGGGCGGCCCCGCGCCTCGCTCGCGTGGCCCCGCGCCTCTCCCGGCACCGCTCCCGAGGGCGTGCTTCAGGCGTCGCACAATGGGGGGGGGGCACAAACGGGGGGGGGCGGCGAGGGTGGTCCGAACAGGTACCCAAGCGGTACCCAGACGAGCCCCCTTGGGGCTCCGGAGGGGCCCGAAAGGGGCACGAAAGGGCACCGTCTCTGACCCCCCCATGTATGACCCCCCCATGAAGTCCCCCCCGAGTGCTCGCGTCGTGAGCCAGTCACGAGGGAGGCTTTGTGGCCGTGCGCGGCCTCCAGGGCCCTCGCCGGGCCCCGGGGCCCTCAGAGCACGACTCGCGAGGAGCCGCCAGCCCTGGGGAGAGGTCGGGGCCTATCTGGGAGCCCCGGTGTTGGAACCAGCAGGGCATCGCACGTCTGGTCCCTGAAGGTTCCAAGAACAGGCAAAAATTATGCTGGTGAAGGACCCAACCAGATGCAGTTGTGCGTACTGCCACTGTGAGTATCTTCTTCGGTTGCGATCCCTAGGGGGCCACGAAATGCCTGAGGGTTCGGTGGAGCTCCCTGTGGGGCCACGAAACGTGCAATGAGTGTGCCGACATTGGTGCTGTGGGCGCATTGGAACGCAGCCACTGGCGTCTTCGGTGGAGCTCCTTGTGGGGCCACGAAACGTGTGAGGGGGGCGTCGAGCTGGGTGCGGTGGGCGCATGCGAACGCAGCCACTGCGACCTTCGGTGGGGCTCCCTGTGGGGCCACGAAACGTTTGAGGGGTGTATCGAAATGGGTGCTGTGAGCGCAAGCGAACGCAGCCACAGGGACCTTCGGTGGAGTTCCCTGTGGGCAACGAAACGTGTGAGGGGTGTGCCGAAATGGGTGCGGTGGGCGCATGTGAGCGCAACCAGTGGGGCCTTCGGTGGGGCTCCGTGTGGGGCCACGAAACGCGTGAGGGGTGTGCCGAAATGGGTGCGGTGGGCGCATGCGAACGCAGCCACTGGGGCCTTCGGTGGGGCTCCCTATGGGGCCACGAAACGTGTAATGAGTGTACCGAAATGGGTGCGGAGGGGTTTGGGGAAGGGGAAGCATCTCACACGCCGTGACCCCAAGGGGTCGGCGGATGGCGGTGCGCCAGGTATGTTTGATTGTTTGTTTCAATTTCTTTCGAAATCCGCCTGTAGGAGGACATGCCCGACCTGAATGTAGTGCTATGCGCAGCGCCGGGTGCGGGGCACTTCTTTTTGTTGTGCCGTCCTTGTTGCTTGGGGTTGGCCTTTATCCCTTGCACGACGTGTACATTGGCGGCAGGTCATAGATTGCTCCAGCGAGTGTGGGAGAGATGGCTTATTGCTGTTGGTTTCGCGAACAGGCAGACCAAATCGTTCAGCAGGTTTTGCATTGTCCTGCTTGTCTGTCTGCCTGTCTGTCTCTTGGTTCTGCTCTTGCTTTTCCTTTTGAGCATCATCCTCTGGTTTGTCTGGACAATCGGTCCTTCTGTCGTGGCGTACCGATGGACGCCGGCCAGGACTCTGGGTATGGCTTCATTCAGGCGGGTTCCGATCGGCGCAGCCAGCTCATTCCCCGTTCTTCCAACAAGTAGGCGAAGCATGCAGGAATGTTCATGAGACGCAGGCGTGCTCTAGTCCCCTTTATCCCTCCAAGCCTTCCAATCCGCGCTCTCCTGTCTCCTTTCAGTTAGAACGATGGCGCATCGACGTCAGAGCTAAGCCGCACTAGTCGTGCAGATGTCATGACACAGATGAGACAGATGTCCCGACGTGATGGCGAGTTGTCCATCTGGCTCCAGTCGGCTCGCATTGTTCAGGGTTGCGTCGTGTACGATTGCGGCGCAGTCCACTGAACATGTTGATGCAAGCAGCAAGTGTGTAGCCATGTCAGCTTGAGGGTGGTTGCTGCTGGTCGCAGACGAGCTGCAGGCTCCTTGTCGCCTGCCACGAGTACTGTCGAAGGGATCAGTGTGCAAATTTGCCATGTTCGCGAAGCCCCAGCTTCTCTTCTGGTTAGTGTTTCCCGCCTTTCCCTCTGAGGAGGAAAAGGAGGGAAAGGAGTAGAAAAAGGATTATGATGGGGAGGAGGGGGAGGATGAGGAGGAGGAGGAGGAGGAGGAGAATCTTACCGCCGCTGCATGTTTCACAGCTTCTCGTCCTGAGCCTGTGAGCCTGCCAGGAGCCGAATCCGACTGTGGCTCGGAGGTCGGGCTGAGCAGGAGGTGACCCCAGCCGTGAAAAGCCAGCTTTTCGGTTTCGGCTCGTTCTGTGCGTGCTGGCGGGGCGGGGCCCCTCCAGGGCGGCGTGTGTCGGCCAGGGAACGAGGAGGAGGAGGAGGACGAGGAGGAGGAGGAGGAGGAGGAGGAAGGAAGGAGGAGGAGGAGGAGAAAGGAGAAGGAGGAGGAGCAGGAGGACGAGGAGGAGGAGGAGGACGAGGAGGAGAAGGAGAAAGGAGAAGGACGAGGAGTAGGAGGATTTCGAGGAGGAGGAGGAGGAGGACGGCGAGGATGAGGAGGACGGAGAAGAAGCAAGAAGCGGGGAGGAGGAGGAGAACGAGGAAGAGGACGAGGCGGAGGAGGAAGAACAGGAGGAGTAGGAGGAGGAGAAGGAGGGCGGGGTTTCTCCAGGGCGACGTGTGGCAGGGTTCCTACAGGGGCCAAGTCGGGCAAGATGCTTTTCGTCTCCGTGTCACGGGGTCGGTCACGGATGCAGCGAGAGCAGCAGGGTGTCGGGTGTGTTGGGTGCACCGCAGGTGTCTGACGGAAGACGGGCCTACGTGCACCGCTCCATGATCAGAGGCTGCGGCCCGTTGCAGAGAAGATGTTTGGAGTTTGCCTCGCAGCGCGCTTGCATTACAGCCACTCACAGAAAGAGCAGAGTCAAATAAGAGCCATCGCCAACATTCTTGCTTATAAGTTTGGGGCGAGATAGGGCCCTTGCGAATATCGCGGCTTGCACAGAGGCGCGTGCCGACGCACTCGGTGGTGCACTTGGCTGGGTGGCCCAAGAACCGCAGCTGCACGTTGGCCGGTGTTCGTTCCGAGCGCACTCCCTCAGACCGAGCCCGCTGCGTCTCGCAGATGAACCCGAGAGCAGTTGTGCGCGTGAGCGGAAGGGACGCCTTCTGGATATGACGGTTTGTGTTGATGCCAGTGTGTGTGGGTGTTGTTGTCGTTGTTGGTGGTGGTGTTGTTGTTGTCGTTGTCGTTGTCGTTTTCGTTGTTGTTGGTGTTGTCGTTGTTGGTGGTGGTGGTGTTGTTGTTGTTGGTGTTGGTGTTGTTGTTGGTGGTGTTGGTGTTGGTGTTGTTGTTGGTGTTGTTGTTGTTGTTGGTGTTGTTGTTGTTGGTGCTGTTGTTGTTTGTTGTTTGTGGTTTGTTGTCTGTTGTTTGGTGTTTGTTGTTTGTTGTTTGTTGTTTGTTGGTTGTTGGTTGTTGGTTGTTGGTTGTTGGTTGTTGTTTGTTGTTTGTTGTTTGTTGTTTGTTGTTGTTGTTGTTGCTGCTGTTGCTGTTGCTGTTGCTGTTGCTCGGTAAGGCGTTGGCACCAGCCCCGGTTTGTTGTTTAGATCTTCTTCTCTCTGAACTCAAGTGTTTATCCTGAAGAGGAAGCAAAGCTCCAGCAACCGAGGGCTGCCCCACGGGGCCGGAGAAGGGGTTGGCATTGGGGCCGCAGCGCAAGGTGCCCCACGGGGCCGGAGAAGGGGTCGGCAATCCTGGCGCGTTTCCAGAGGGCTCCCCAAGATTTCGGCGAATCCCTCAGGTTTCTCTTGGATTCCTGAGGACCCCTTTGGAACTCTCCAGGACCTCCCAGGATTCCTTTGGACCCCCCAAGATTCCTCAAGATTTCCTCAGGACCATTCCGCGGGACTCCCGAGGATTCCAAAAGATCCTCCAAGATGTATCAGGCTCCTTCCGGAGTCCCCAGGCCTCCTCAGGAACCCCCCGGAATCTTTGGGATCCCACATGATTCTTCAGGATCTCCCCATGGGATTCACGGGATTCCGTTGGGTTTCTCGGGATTCTTCCGGATATCTTCGAATTCTTCAGGACCCCCAAGGATTCCTCAGGACACTTAAGGATTCCTCAGGATCCACCGTGTCTCCTCAGGACGCCTACTGACTCCTTAGGATGCCCCATGGTTCGTCAGGATCCTCTCAGGGTGCCCTTCGGGATTCCTCCGGATTCCGTCGCATTCTTGTGGGTTCCCCAGGAATCTTCAAGACCCACAAGGATTCCTCGGGATCCCCCAGGCTTCTTATTGATTCATCAGGATTCCGTCGGATTCGTCAGGATTCCTCAGGGCCCTTCAGGATTCCTCCGGACTCCTCCCGAGTCCCAAGGATCCCAAGGATTCCTCCGGATCCCGCAGGAATCGTGGGGATCCCCAACGATTCTTCTGGATCTCCCCATGGGGTTCTCATGATTCCGTTTGGCTCCTCAGGATGTTTCATGATATCTTCGAATCCTTCAGGATCCCCAAAGGTTCCTCTGGACACTTCAGGACTCCTCAGGAGTTCCCAGGACTCCTCAGGACTCCCCAGGACCCTCCCCCTCCAAATGAATCCGATGGACTTTTCCTCAGGATCCACAGCGATTCTTCACGATTCCCCAAGATTCCTCAGGATGCGGAAGGCCTCCTTGCCAGGATTTCCCCAGGATCCCCTTTGGGTGCCCCTCACGATTCCTCTGGACTCCTCAGCATTCCTCAGGATTCCACAGGATTTACTCGGATCCCCACGGCTTCCTCTGGATTCATCGGGACTCTTCAGGATTCGTCCGGATTCTTCAGGATCCTTCAGGATTCCTCCAGATTCCCTCCGAGGCCCCAGGGCTCCGCAGGGTCCCACAGGAACCCTTTTGGACCCCAAAGGATTCTTCAGGGTCTCTCTCGGGTTTCTCAGGATTCCGCTGGGGTCTTCAGGAATCCTCAGGACACTAGGATTCTTCAGGATCCCCTAGGTTTCTTCTGGGCTCATCAGATTTCTTTGGATTCGTGAAGATTCCTCAGGACACCTCAGGACTCCTCAGGATTCCCCAGGACCCCCCCCCTCCAAAAGAGTTGTTTGGATTCCTCTTCAGGATCCACGATGATTCCCTAAGGCCCCCCAAGGTTCCTCAGGATGCCTGAAGACCCCGACGGAGCCCTAAGGATCCCCCAGGATCCCCTCAGGGTGCCCCTCAAGACACATCAGAATTCTTCAGGACCCCCAAGGATTCCTCAGGGTTCACCACGACCCCCCCCTCCAAAGAGTCCGATGGCTTCCTCAGGACCCACAATGATGCCTCAGGATCCTCTTCAAAGGTTTTCCAGGATGCCTGAAGGTCCCGTAGGACCCCACAGGATGTTTCAAAATCACATCAGGGCACCCTTCAACGCTTCAGGATGTCTCATGACCCCTTAGCAGTCTTCAGACATGCATAGGAATCATCAGGACACACAAGGACTACTCAGGATCCCGTAGGCTTCCTTTGGATTCATCAGGACTCCCCAGGATTCGTCCGGATCCATCAGGATTCCTCTGGATTCCTCAGGACCTCACAGAAACCCTTTGGATTCCCCAAGCACTATTCAGGATCTCGCCAGGGATGCTCAAGATCTTGCGGGCCTGCTAAGGGTTGTTTTGGGTATCTTCGAATTCGTCAGGGACCCTAAGGATTCATCAGGACTCCTCAGGGCTCCCGAGGACTCTTCAGGATCCCCGTCGTCGTCGTCGTCGTCGTCGCCGTCGTCGTCGTCGTGAGGGTCCCTGAGGGTGTCTTAGCTGCACACGGGGCCAGAGAAGGGGGTAGCGCACCGGGAGCGTTTTCTGTGGAGGGAACAGCACATGTGGCGGGGCATACAGGGCCGGAGTGTACCTTTGCCCACCGCGGCGCGAAACCGCCCCAGATGGCTTCGCGCAGGGCCAGAGAAGTCGTCGTCATACAGCGTTTCAGGCCAGCAGACCCACGTGGCCGGAGGCCCGAGTGCACGCCTTTCCTTTGTTGTTGTTGTTGTTGTTGTTGTTGTTGTTGTTGTTGTTGGTGTTGCTGTCGTTGTTGTTGTTGTTGTTGTTGTTGTTGTTGTTGGTGTTGTTGGTGTTGTTGTTGTTGGTGGTGTTGTTGTTGTTGGTGTTGGTGTTGTTGTTGTTGTTGTTGTCGTTGTTGCTGTCGTTGTTGTTGTTGTTGTTATTGTTGGTGTTGCTGTTGTTGCGGTTATTGTTGTTGTTGTTCGTATGGTTGTTGTTGCTGTTGTTGGGCTCTCTCGTTTGAAGAATCATTATTGTTGATCCCCCCGCATCGGTGCATATTGTTTGTTCCTAATCAAAGTGTGCCCCTCGACGCTCGCACCGTGTTTTCTCGACAGGGAAAGTCTTTCTGGTCAAACTGCACCACTGGCCCCCTAGACTACAACAACAACAGTTCCCGCTTGAGACTTCCTCCACATGTATTCAGACCCCCCCCTCCCGTTTGAGACTTCCTCCCAAGTTGCTCAGGAATGGCGCTCCCGCTTGAGACTTCCTTACTTTTGTCACAAACCCCGCTCCCATCTGAGACTTTCTCACAATTTACTCAGGAACGGCGCTTCCGTTTGAGACTTCCTCCCAATTAAGCCAAGACTTCTTGTCAATTCAATCAAGACCCCCGCTTTTGCCAGAGAACCCTTCACATTTTATTCGGGAATTGCGCCTTCGCTTGTGATTTCCATGCAGTTTGTTCAGAAATCGCGCTGTCGACGCTCAGGAAATATGCTGCGCCAAGGACGCCGTTACAATTTATTTAGGAATCGCACTCTCACCATACTGGGGCATCCCGCTTGAATGTCCCACCCGGCCGACCCGCCCGTCAGGGGATCGCCCGCCCGTCGTGGGCTCCCGCCCGAGATTTCTTTCAGGAATGGCGCTTTCGCTTAGGAGTTCCTCGAACGTTCACGCTTTGACCTTCCTGTTCATCCTTCCTCTCCCTCCCTCCTCCCTCCTCTCCTCCCTTCTCTCTCCCTCCTTTCTCCCCTCATCCTTATGCCTCTCTGCCCTATCCCCTCTCCCTCCTCTCCCTCCTCCCTTTTCTCTCCCCTCTCCTGCCTCCTCCCTCCCTCTTTCTCTCTCTCCCCTCTGTCTCTTTTTCTTCATCGACCTGTCTTATATGTTTGTTGTTGGTTCCCTCTGTTTGCTTTCTCTCTCTCCCTCTATCTCTCTCTCTCTCTCTTTCTCTCTCTTTCTCTGCCTCTAATCAACCGCCCCCGTCTTCGCTCCTTTTCTCCTGGCGTGTTCCCTCTTCCTTCGTCCTTCCCCCTTCCTTCCCACTCTCCCTTTTTGTTCCCTTCTCTTTTTGCAGGGCGGCCCACACCAATGCCAATGGCGGGCACATTACGCCCACGAAGGATTGTCCGTCCGTTCAGGTTTGCCCGCCTGTCTAAGCCCGCCGCCCCCCCGCAAAGAGAGCGAATCCCCCCAAAGGGGGTGTGATCGAAAACCAAAATGGCGGGCATCGAGGGTGTGGGGAACTCGTTTTGCGTGACGCACGGGCAAGTAAAAGCAAACAGTCGTAGAATGATCGTTGTTGTTGTTGGAAACGCACTGCTGAAGAATAATGATTGTTGATCCCCCTGTCCGGTGCACATTGTTTTTTCTTGATTGAAGTGCCCTTCCCGGGGCTCGCACTTTGTTTTTTACGAGGGAAAGTCTGGAAGGTCAAACTGTGTTGTTGGCCCCCGGGTTATAACAACGGCTCCCGCCCGAGGCCTCTTCACAAATTAGCCAGAATCCCCGTTCCCGCCCGAGACTTCCTCGCAATGTATTCAGGAATCGCGCTCTCGCTTAGGATTT